TTTTACACAGAAGACAAACATGCTTACTTATTCCAAATCAGAACATGACACTAGAATTATTCAAGGATTTCTTTAACGACATTGTAGCATTGATCAGTTCAACTATGTTTATATACTAAAACACCTTATTTAAGAAAAAAAATATATATAGGTAGGTTGCAGTCCTAAAAGGAGAGGACAGTAAAATGAAAATTGAAAGGGGGTAGTGGAAGAGGAAGCTGAGAGTGATGAAACACCACGTAGAGAAGCAAATTAATGCTGCTTGTGAGTGTGTTGGCGTGTCTCGGTGGGAGGTGTGGATCCATGGGCAGACTGGTTCGGCCAGGGTAATTGAGAGCCTGATCTTCCATGCCAGGATGTGTGCCCTCTTGTCTCCTTCCCTTCTTCCTTTTTTCACTTTTTCTTTTTCTTTTTTCTATTTCTTTTATGCTACCCGATAAGGCATCTGGCGCCCTATCATGTCACATCAATTCAGCACAGAGTAGCCATTTATTCTTGTATAAGATCATCAAGGGTCTTCGCCTACACCAAGACATTTGAACCGATCATTTAGCTGTGAGGGAAACATACGGAACAATGTGCTGTACTTTTTTTTCTCATGCTCTGTTACCTGTCAATACACTGTAGGACAACACACTTATGGCTGCACTGATGGTGGTGAGTTGATTTTCATCTGCCAGTATATGTCGTTTTGGACAATCATCTTTTGTACTCCTCGTTAAATTGGTTTTCATTTTGAGCTGCCAATCATTTTACAAGAGTTTCCTTCTCCATGAAGGAAATGTAATTTTGAGAACCTGTTGGCAGTGGCTCACATTCAGTTTGTGGTATACAAATGTTAAGATTAGCCGTCATACCTCTTGTCCTACAACAGTCTGACAAGAACATAGCATGTGCCAAATGACTCAGAACTAAATTGTAATTATAGTCTCTGCAGACATGAGCCCACAATAAAGCATAGTAACAGGTTTCTTTGTTTTCATGCTACAGCTGTTGTGATTGCACTGCCAGCGTGTGTAAAAATTATATCTCTACCAGGGATGAGAAGACTTTGCCTGCTTTGCTGGGAAAGACTGTATTAGGAATTTGGTTTATTTAGTTTGGGTTTACCTAACCTGACTGCAAGATTTCTTGCTGTTTGGAGATCATTTGCCCAGCTCAAAGGAATGCAGGACATGTAAGAGTAGCTCTCAGATTAAAGGTAGATGGATGGTCTGGGGATTGTTTGATATAAAACAGGAGGTTTGGTGGGTAGGGGATTGTGGGGAAAGAAACTGGTCTCTCAGCAGTCTTTACTAAATGAGGTTAATTGACTGTGGGTAATTGCTGACCTTCCTGTCTCAGTGAAATCGCAGCCTTAGCTGATCAATGCCTTTCATAAATTTATGCCTGAAGGTCATTCAGTTGATTATACCACCCTCCCTCGCTGCCTGCATTACCTCGCTCCATCAGCCCATTGTGCAAAAATGAACCGTGCAAGCTTTTTAACGCTAAAAAAATACAATTAAGCGTGTCTCAGATTTTCTTAATTAGCTTGCTGTGTTGTTAAGTAAAAGCAATGTGGACAGGGAAAATTTGCAAAGGTTTTTTTCCCCTCTCGCTTCTGTGCTGTGACAGCAAATGCATTTGCCTTGCAGTAAATGTCTCACTTACTGCTAGTGAGGGTTCTGCTTCTCTGCTCTCCCTCTGTGGCTCTGCTATTATCTAGAGATTTATGCAGCCAATAAGTCACTGGTGTTCAGGGAAGTTGGAGACTTTTTAAAACTAACAGCAGTGTAATTTGTAATTTGGCATTCCTTAAATCTGGGAATTATGGTTGTACATGTGGCTCTGTAGGGAGTTAGCACTCTGATGGTGGGTTTACTGGGCCAGCTCCCTCCCTGACCTCCTCCTTTTTCTCTCTGCACCACGTTCCTTTTACGCCTGCCGAGGAAACGGGAGGATTTCACAGCTGCTGAGAGCTGGGCCCCGGCTGGGCACTATGGCCTCCTTCTTGCTTTCCCCCCCCCCCCCCCCTTCTGTCTCTCTCCCTTTTTCTCCCTCTCTCCAGCAGTCTCTTTCCTCAGGGAGCTCTTGTGTGGCTCAGAGGAAGCTGAATCATACAGCATGGCTAATGAATAGAATAGGGAAGGAAAACTGAGGCCTGCTGAGGGCCCTCCAGAGAGGTGGCCAGGCCCCTGAAGCCCCAGGCTCAAATAGCAGACGGGCCCCCACAAAGGTCAGGCTTCCTGCGGCCCGCTCCAAGGGCTTTTGGCTCCCAGGCAACATGGCTTGAATTTCACCCATTATTTTTTTAAATGGTTAAATTTCCCTGTTTCCTTTGGAAAACCTGGCCTTTGGTCTTTTTATTGTCTGCCTTTTTCTTTCTATATATATTTCCCCTCTGTCTTGTCTTTCCATGTTTGTTTTTAGTGGTACCCAGGGTTACCTCTACAAAGAGAGTGTGAAGAATTTGTTATACATGACCTCTGCACACTATAACCACTGCCAGCAGCACAGCCCCATGAAAAAATGTCAACTTGACCAGCAAAACCCAGAAAGTTCTACAATAACAACGGCTAACCAAATCAGGGCTCTGCTTTGACATGCCTTTTTAAGAAGTGCTTTTGTAAGCCAGCCTTGTAATTGTGGATTATACGACTGACTCATGCAGACTTGGCAGGTGCCGAACGCAGCATTAAAACCTAAATATTGGTTGTTGATGTTACTTGGAATACGTTTGGAATATAAAACAGCTCACTGCATGCTCAAAAGGCCAGAATAGGAATAGGGAGATCTAGATCATCTTGGCACATGGTAAACTCAGCATTTTCTGTTCTCTTACACAGGAGCAGGTTATGTCTGTCTTGCTTTCTGGATAACCACTCTGGTCATAACAAGTGTTTTAGCTGTTATAGTGAGTTATGGCATGACCTACCCTATCCCTTCTGCTTTTGTGACCCCATGCCACACTAAGCAAGTCCCTGAGCCAGCGCCTGTGTCCATTTGACAGGCTTCATTTCATTCTGAGCCCATATTTTTCTTTCAGGGCCTCCAAGGCTGCAATTCAAGTCTGAGGTTGGGCTGCTGCATTGCTGAAGCTTGGTACAGGAGCGTTTAATGTCATCCAAAGCTAACAAAGAGCCTGTGTTGTAGCCTGATGCCCTGGTTCTGGGAGACTGAAAGAGGGCAATGCACAACACTCTGTCTTGCCTTTATGGTCTTTCGCTTCATGTGCTGTAAGAGGAAACAGGAAGCATCGCTATTCAGCTGAGTGTATGCCCTTCTTTAAAAGTGCCACTTATCGAGTCAAAAATAAAAAGATGTTAATGACCCCTTCTTACATTTGCAACATGGTATTGAACTACCTTAAACACATTGGTTAACTAGTCTAGTATTCTAGAAACACTCTAGTTTAATAATCTCATAAAGGTCAGAGATAAAAACTAGTTTCCTTGCAGTGTTGCAATATTTCTTCAGAGCTTGACTTGCGTTAATATCTGTCCATAAATGCGAACATTGATATTAATGTTTCTTGTCCACTCAGTTGTTTACATTGGCTTTGCTGTTGCTCAGTAAGGTTTCCTCTATTTCATATGACTGGTGTATGAATAAAGCATATTGTTGATCACTGTTGTGGTTAGAACTGAGACGAGACATCAAGCACAGACAGACAAACACTGGAGAACTGTAACACAGTGGCAGTGAAGGAGAAATTGGGAGGTCTTGGAAAGAAGAGGACGTCCTCAAAACACTTGTGAACAACTAAGAGGGATGCCAAGGACAGCCATCTGTGTTTACAAAATCATTTGCTTTCTCTTTCTGTCTCTCTTGTACTTAGTCTGATTCACTGTTCATTCTTTACATATGCTCCCTTTGTGCTGCATTAAAATACAAGCATGGCAGTTAAGGACACTCGGGCCCTTTGGGTGGAACATATGTTCAGCTCTTGCAGCTTTTTACAAGTCTGCAGAGCCCAGATGAGAACAGCTAAAGCAAAGGGAAATATTGGCTTTAAACAAAACCCCTATATGGGCTGATATTACAGGCTGAGGAGGATTTTCATTGTTAATATTATCTTCCAAGCACACAGACTTTTTGCTGTGTGCTTTTTTTGCACAAAGCCAGGTTTTGTGTGGATTTACTGCTTTTTGATCCAAGTGTTTAAAGATATCCTGTCTGGCCGGTGAACGTGTATTTTTGTAAAAAGGTATGGTGTGCTATGATTTTTGTAGTGCTCGCCAGAACTTACATCCAGCTAAAGGAAAAAGAAAAATACCTAGCAGTGTTTAGTCTAGAAGTCTTCACTATCACTTTGTAGTCAGATGTCTTTCTCCCTCAAGTCTAACTCGGTCTCCATTTGAATATAGTCAAGCAGGTTTCCACTGCTCACTATCATGAGCCAAACCAGTAGCAGCTGTTTTTGACTCAGTAATGCTCTTGTTGTTGACAGATTATCTGCTTATGCCCAGTATGAGCTGATATTGTCTTTGATAATTTGTGAAATGGGGATATTGCTTTTCGAGTGGGACCACATTCTGTTCGAAATGTGATGTTATTCTGTTCAAAAATACTGTGGAACAAAATGTGAATTCTGAGCAGCAGCATGTATGCAGGAGCCTTTGTGCTCTAACACTGCATAGCCACCTTACTGACTTCCTCTGTCTTTGATTGCTTCTGAGGGTTTTCAGGTGGCACAATAGTGCCACCTAATGTTACTTTGACTGGAAAAAACCAGTACAGACGGAGCTCTTCTCTTGGCTGATTGGAGGCTGTTGATTGACTGTATTATGCTGTGCGTGTGTGTGTGGAGGCTGGACTTGCCTCCAGACGCTTGTGGGCACATTTGTGTATGAATAACCCTTTTACTGCACAGACAAAATATGTGTCAGTGCTTGTGTTAGTTTTGATAGATAGCCCTAATATAATATGTCCATTTTTTAAATAGGATTGACCAAAGTTTTTCGCCAATTTAGCTCATCAGACAAAATCACTGAAGGTCTGCCTTCTTGTTTTTCCAGGTGTCTGATGTAGGATCAGAGAAGCTCTTTTCGCCTACCACACCCAAAGGTAAGACCCTGCTCTGTTTTCTCTAGTCCCTTTTCAGTCTGTCCTCCTCTGCCTCATTCATACACACAAAAAAACAGACTGGGTTTGGCAAATGAGTCCAAATCTTCTTCACTCTAATCCTGTAGCTCCCATTCAGATTTAAATGTCAGCAGACATAAACAAGGTCTGGTGACTACATATGCATACATTTTTGCCTGGGTGCAGAGTGGCGTTTTTTGGATGACCCCACTAAAGGCTTAGCCCTCCTACATATTGGTTCATTAGAGGGGATTTAGAGCCTCCCTGCCACATGCTCCCACAAATGGGAACTTCCCCTCAGGCAATACAAGCTCTCTGACAGCAGGCCTGGGCCATAATGGATGCCAAAGGAAAGCGAGAGACAGAGCTTTGTCAGCCCCCCAGACGACACAATCTCTGTCTGTGTGTTCACTTATGCACATATGTGGATTATAAACCCTTTGCTTTTTTATGTTCATGCATGAGTTCATGTAATTTTGTGCATTTCTGTGCACCTCTGTGTCCATGTGCATGTAACTACATACATGTGCTGATGTATTTGGCATGTTACAGATACCATGTGTGCAAAGAAATCGGCTGCACTTGTATATTCGCTAAATCCAATGATTCTTGCCAAGTCAGAGCAAAGAGAAAGGTGTCAAGTTGTGGATGCACAGAGGGAGGGGAGGCATGAGAGGTACGGTCAGCCTTCTAGTGATAGATACCAGCATGAAGTCTGCATCCCCCTAGGGCAGGAACCAAGAAGGAGGCCATTAAAACAAGCAGAGGGAGAAGGAGATGGACATGCACAACAGAGTAAAATATGACCAAATGAGGAGGGTTTTAGACGGTCTTGAAAAATGTAGGACGTGGTACCAAACTCTATGTACTACTGTGTGTGACAGGGGTACATATCATTGTCTAAAGGTTGCTGGGGGAAAAATTCTGTTAACCATTTTTGTTTTATTGGACTTCTGAATTCAGATTTTTCTGCAAAGGAGTGATGCAGAGATTCACAGCATCAGTGCAAATCTGCATCCCAACTTTTGCTACTCACAAAAGTTTTTTAACCTGCGTTTTATTCACTTCAACATCAGAACATCTGCTGTGAATGACACTCACATGAAGGGGTTGCTTGGTTTAGCACAGTAGCTTTGACTGCTGAGTGGAGAAGCATGGCTGGCAAAGAGGAGAGGAACCAGTACTGCTTGCTGTGTGATGTAGATGACCTGTGACCAGCATTGAAACCTGTGTTTGCAATAACAATGGCTTCCAGACTTGCATGTTTTAGAAAATAACTAGACCATGTCTGACTCCATTTATTCTTCACCGTGTTGCTGGACTACTGCTGTTGACAGCTGTCAGGGTGTTGACTTATTTTCTCTGCATGCCCGTACAGAACATGGCAGCATATAAACATACTCTGCCGTGGAGAACAGATAGTACAGGCACATACCCAGCCATTGCATTTTATACACACCCACACACTCAAAACACCCCTTCCATGTCAGCTGGCGAGTGCAGGTCTCTGTGGATCCTGCTAATGTGCACAAAGGGCTGAGGATTAGGACCATGGAATTACATCCAGACAATCCAATCAGAGTGTCTCCTGACTGTCAACATATCAACCAGATCCTGCTTGGGTAATGTAAAAGAAGAATACCAAGTTAGAATTTAGGGTTAGAAAGGATGAGGCAGCAAAGAAATCAGCAGTTTGATGAAGTAACTTGGTGACGATGAGGAAGAAGTTATCACACTACAATTGCAGAGCTGCCGCCAACCGGCTCTCATCTCTGGTTCTAACATGGTTGTTCTGAGCTGTAATAGATTCAAGGACTGTGTTAGATTTTGGCCTAGGCTCATTTTTCTGTGCATGAATAACGTTTGTGCGTGTGTGTAACACAGAGCAGCCCACAGGCTGTTTTCCCCTGCTTTAGAATGCAGCGTATGTGTCCCATTACCAGTCTCACTCCGGGTCCTATGGGACCAATGAAAAGCCTTCTTTCTTCTGATCACCAGGCCTGTCGAGCTGTTGGTAGACAGATGCACGCATACACGCACATTATGGCACACATAAATATATAATGCTGTCATGCTGTTTGGCTTGTACAATGTTTAGATAATGAGTGTTGTTTCTTTTACTTTTACCTCTCCTTTGCTTTTCAACATTCTGCTCCTTTCTGAACTTTATTTTGGTGAGCACTTATGGGTACAAACAGTTGAGGTTAAGTCCAAATTGCACACAGGCCCACAGTCTGTCACGTTAATGAAATGGTTCAGGGTTAATAGAGGAGAGGAAAGACCAACATTGTAATCAGCCAAGGCAGAGTGCTGTAATTATGCACACAGAACATGGTTTTGGGTAAAACCCAGACACCCTTGCCTTCTTTCTCTCATATTTACTTTTTGTCATCTCTGCATCACTAGTTGACAGTGTGTTATAGATGTTAGTTCCCAGCACAAGGTGATAGTATCTGTAATAACATAGCACATGGCATGCAGTTCTCTCTGGTTGCTGTAACCCAAGAGCTAGCATAAGTTCTGCTAAATGTCTGCCTGTGTTGGTGGTTATAAGGGAGGAAGGTCCAGCAAAGGGCAAGAATTATCTAACAGTTATTGTTTTTGTTTATTTCTTGTCTTAAACCTCCAAATTATTGATTTCCTGGAGGATGGCATGTGTATGTAAAAGCACTACGAAGACTTGTGCTCCAGTCAGGGCTACTCTTATTGAATTCCTGGTCAAAGATTACTGTTGTGACTTGCTGGAAGGCGAATGATGAGCTAAACATAGCTGCTGAGCATGTACCTCCACAGACCCCAGATAAACACTTAGCTTCTAGGTCTTCTTACTGTATGAGATTTCACTCCTTTGGAAGTTGTGAGGAGTTAGTGTTATAGCCAGCTAGTGGCTATAAATACCTGAGAGGAACACTTTGGAATCTGCAGTCACTATGTTGAAACTTGTATCTGTGGATTTAGGGCAAAAGATGTAGCTTCGGCCATCTCACAGCCCTGTTGTCCTAGGTACTGTGGGTGCTACCTGCCACAGGGGAGAGTAAACCTGTGTGGTGTGCGCACCACCAGACAAACCTGGGCATCTTAGGTTGGCAGACAACGATTGGTAGAAAACCCATTTCTGAAGTGGATTTGTGCCCTTGTAATCCTGATTAATTTTGACCCGTTGTGCTCATTTTAAACAGAGCATTACAGTAAGCGTGAACACAGCAAGCTCCAGGGCGAAACCAGGAGCTTAGCGGCTTTGGGAGGCTTAGCTGCAGATGGCATTTTAAGCCGGACTTAATAAATTGTTTCCATTAAACTTACCGGCCCACACATACTGGATTAGACCAGTGGAACAAAGGAAGGAGAGAGCATGCAGACGAAGGAGAGGAAAAAAGTGCACACACAACTGCCATCACCACTGCTCTGTTAACATTTGTCTGAGGCCACATGAAAAGTGAAGATGGGGTTACTGTGGTTTTTAAGGAGCTAGAAGCCTTTGGATGTAAATGCAAAATCCATTCATTTTGGTCTCTTACTTGTCAGGGATGTTGGACCAATTTGCTTAATTGACATTGAAGTAAACAAACAAAAAAGATGCATAAACCATTTCGCTTGCCAGTGGATTTAGGGCTTATCCCCTAACTGTTTATATATAAACACATTACCATTGCTGTAGCTTAAGGATTTAGGATCTGCCCATACTCGTGCTGTTTCTATGGGGCCTTTTTACTCATACAGTATATCAATCTCTGTTATTGTGTGAAATCAATTCCTTATGGTAGAACCCCGCCTCTGCTCTCCTCTATCCTCAGCCCGCCTCCACCATACCTCCTTCCCCCATCGGTTCATGGCTTGATCCCTAAGCTCTCATTATGTGCTACACAGTCCAGGGTCCCCATGTCGAATCACTAATCAACAACCCTATCTCCCGGACTGCTCTCTCAATAAGTGCTGAGTGGCCTTTGTTCCCTCACCACTGTTTGCTGCATGTCAGCAAAAGAGCTATGGCCTCCTCTAGGACCGGGCAATAGAGCAATCTCAGTAATTATATATGTATCATGATAACATTTGAGTAAGTTTCAATAAATGTATCTGTTTTGCCTTTGGGTCAACCCCCTACACAATGACCTTAGTAGGCTGCAGCAGTTACATTTCATAGCTGACGTGTGTATGGGCAAAACAAAACACACACAGTGTAAAAACAAGCAACAGTGAAGAGACTCGCATGAAACTGTGGCAAAGAGATGATGATTTGGAATTGGTTTGGATTTCTAAAGCTGGATAAACAGCAGAGCTAGCACCAGCAGCCAAGCTCACAAACAAGACTCTTGTGGTAACATTAGTCCAAACTCCAGCAGCAGTCGCTCATGCTGGCCCTATAAGTCCTTACCCAGTGAAAGGGCTCTAAAAGAAACAGACACAGCGAGTGCAATTTCATATTTTATTGCAAACATGATGCCATGGTGGGGGAAAAAACAGGTTGCATTTTTCAAAAACAGCATTGCCTCAGCTTTATGCGGAATGCAGGGGAAAAATAGAAGAGGAGCTTTATACAATTTGCCAGCATCACTGATAGAGTATGTACTCCAGCTGTATGGCGGACACTTAAATGAGCCTAATGAGCATAAATGTTAGGCCATGTTGGTTGTGGAGAATATCAAGCTATTGATTTAAAAAGAAAATGTTGTATAACAAACTTTTGGACTTATTCAGGATTTAATCTTAAATTAAATATACCCATTCATATTAAAAGGTTTCCTGTGGAGCTAACTTGTAGACAGCGGTAACATTCAGTGGTACCACAACATGTCGTGTGTATGTCAAACAAAAGTGTTTTATTCTTCATTAGTAGTACTAAATGTATGTATTGTTAAGGATATCGATCAACATGATGGCCCTGCCCTCCTCCTCATTCTTTTCTGTTGCCTGAGCCGGCCATAGCTACAGGTCCACTCCTGTAGTGCAAGCTTAGAAAAAAAATTCTCACCTGCTGGATTCCA